GGGAGGAGTTAATCTATTCTCAACAATAACAATTCACTGTAAGGAAATTTATCACGGCGAAGAAGCAATTCAATATAAAAATTGCATCCGTTAAAAACAATTGGTAGTTATGGATTTTTATTATTCCCGGAAAAAAACTAAAAAATGAAATTTATTTGTTACCAGTTTTTACTCCGGTGCCCCGCCCGATGAGACAATCTAGCGTGACCCACCGGTTGGTCACCCCGGCGTGAACGTGTTAAAATTAATTTTCAATATTTTTTATATTATTTACAGTCATATAACAAGTTATTAGTAAATATTAACAATAAAAATTAGATGTTGTACAAAATTCTAAGAAATTGTGTCATTATATACACTATTGTTTTTCTAATTGAAATTAAAAGCAGTCAAAATGACTTCCTTAGGCAATCTAGTGTTAAGTATTATACCCTTGTCAGAGGAAATATACACAAGCATTTATTAGATAAATTATTATTTTTTTCTTTCCTGTAGGTAGATCTTAAACATTTGGAAGAGATCCCAGATAATGATACCGTGCCCATTGGAATGGATCTCAGTGAATTTTACCTGAGTGTAGAATGGGATATTATGGCTGTTCCGGCCCATCGAAGGGTCCGGCATTACTCCTGCTGCGTAGAACCTTACCCGGACATCACTTTCAACATCACACTGAGGAGGAAGACCCTCTTCTACACTGTTAATCTTATTATACCGTGTGTCGGAATATCCGGCTTGTCCGTCCTGGTCTTCTATCTTCCCTCAGATTCTGGCGAAAAGGTTTGACTACTTCATTGCATTCTTATTTTAAATCATGCTGTGAACTTCTTTTTGTTAATCTAATTTTAAATTTGTGTGCCAAATGTCCATGAACATTTCTCGAAAGGAGGGGGAATAACCAACGCCTCTTACAACTGAAAGCCTCCACACGGTTTTTTATAGGTAGTCCGATCAGACCACTATGATGGTAAACCAGTTTACGAAAGAGCCCTTTAGTAGAAAGTCTAGTAGAAATAAGAAATTGGTAACAAAAATATATGTCTAAAAATTTGTTTAATTTATGAATATGATTGATTTGTCTTATTTACTTGTCTACCACTACAGATTCCATTCTCAAATATATATGAGAAATTTCTCTCCGACACTTTTTATAATAAAATTTGGGATCAAGCGTACAATCGGTTCACTTTTTAAATAGTTTCAGAGATGCCAACTGCTGCGGACACGCCATAATAATTTTAAAAAAAACGGTAAATATCTACCAGGTAAATTTTGCAAATATTTGACTATTTTTGCTTGCTTTTAAAAAGGTATGGCATGACATCAGTACTATAAAGTGGTGAATTGTATAAGGCTACGAATTATTTTGAAATAGTGGTGGATAAAAATCTGCTAAATTGAATTTATTAAACCAAGAATTACAATTGATAAACTACCACCTTAAAATATTTATTTGCTGTCCGGAGCAAGTTGCATCTCTGTAGTTTGCGCAAACTGCTTATAAAAAACCGTGTTGGAATATCACTGCTCTTTAACCCATTGCACTTCAGAGGTTACTCTCGTTTTTGTCACGCGGTCTATACTATAATGTCTAACAGTTTAACTACCACAATTCTTGCATCTTAATATTTAGTAACTACTTAAATTAGTGGCCTCGAGATGATGTATTATAAGTGTGTAAAGGAGTCTTATAACATTAAGTGGTAACAACCATTTTTTTTAATCGTTGAAAGACCCTGTAGTACACTCTGGCATACCCTCCAACATTTGAAGTTTCTGAAAATTATTTTTTCATTGATAAACCCTGTAGTGCAAAAGGTTAAATACACTCTGGCATACTCTCCAACATTTGAAGTTTTTAAAAATTATTTTTTCCAGTGGTTCTGTACTAAAACAGAAGTTTAAGAAAAGATATAGCATTTATAAAACTTTAATCAGAACTTGAGAACATGGCCGTCATAGTCATACGGTTGTTCTAGAGACCTTAAGAATAGAAAAGTAAAATAAAATAAGAGAGATAGGAATTTACCTGTGAAATCATGAATTAGATGCTTAAATTTAATGGGTCATGTGTTGCTATTGCAGCGTCACTACATGTGACTGTAGTGCCTCTAAGTGCGACTGCAGAGCCAATAAATTCTTAGAGTGTGGTGATTCAATTCGACTGCAGTGCCACTGACCTTGACTGCTGCGCCATGTGCTTGTAGTGGTACAATAAACTAAACTCAGTGGCGCGACAGCCCATAGAGGGTCAAGGCATACCGTGCCCATCTCAGATTTCTTGACCTTGGGCTCTGGGGTGCAGGAGGAGATGCTCCGGGTAGGAGGTCAACCGAACGCGAAACCCCCAGTGTTTAGTTCCCAAGCATGCTTGGTACTCATTTATCGATGAAATGCTGAGTCAACCTGGCCCGGCCCGAGCATCGATCCCGGGACCTGTGGCACTGGAGAGCGAAGAACTACCACGTAGTGGTATAATATGGTAGTGAATTGGCCATGGGGAAGTGCTTTCTTCCTCTTTTCTGAAATTTCAATCACTTTAAGTAAAAATTATTTTAAAATTGTTTTGAGAGAATCGCGTCACTTATAAATAAGTGAGCATAGTTTTTAAGACCCCTTTGAGCATTGCAGCATCAAAGATTTTCCTGTAATTAGCAGTTCTGAATTTTTGTTTTATAAAATTCTGTATTTAAAGTCATATGTGTTTCGCTTAAAGTTTTTAGTTTAAAATAAGTATGTATGGCATAGTTTTTTTATGAAATATGGTAGGCAGCTCAATTTTCTTAGCATTTTATTTTGAAATGTGTTGAGTTTTCTAGGTTGTGTTTTAGATATAGCACCAGGCTGCGGAGGTATATGTAATTAATCTTATGTATGTCATGTGTATGAAACGTTTGGTAATTAAGGACCCAGAATGCATTTCAGTTTATTGTAAGTCCAGGGGCTTTATCAAAAAATTTAATGATGTGGTCATTCAAATTTGTGTGTTTATTTATAGAAGTTGGGTTTTATTGGTTTATTGGAATTGCATTCATTTGCAGGCTTGTGTGCTCAATTTGGGCTTATAAACCTTTGTCAAATAGAAGAACAGATAGCACTGAGACACATCCAGGGTAACAGTGGGATTCGAACCCGCTACCTCCACGCTTTGCACAGCGATCGGTCAGGGAGGCCCCGAGATAAAAAAAACTTGTTGTTGTTAATTCACGTCGCACTTGAGTTGCACAATGGGCTCTATTGTGCATGGTCTGGGAAACATCCCTGAGGATGATCCGAAGACATGCCATCACAATTTTGATCCTTTGCAGAGGGGATGGCACCCCCCGCTTCGGTAGCCCGACGACCTGCACGCGAAGTCGAGCACTTTACGATAGAACAATTTAACGAGAACCAATACCGCACATCCTCGGTCCCTACGCAGACTAATCCAAGTGGTCACCCACCCGCACACTGACCGCAGCCAGTGATGCTTGACTTCGGTGATCTGCTGGGAACCGTGTCTTAACAACGCCTCCTATAACAGAAAGCCTCCACATGGTTTTTATAGGTAGTCCGATCAGACCACTGTGAAGGATATCCACTTTCCGAACAAGTCGCTTAATACAAAATTTAGTTAAAATAAAAAAATGGTAGCAAATATATGATTAAAATTTTTTTTAATTTATGAATATTATTGGTTTGCCTTATTCACTTGTCAACCACTACAGATTCAATTCTCAAATATATATGATAAATTTCTCTCAATTACTTTTATGACATCAAAGACAACATAAAATATAGCCCGGCAACCGCCTTTTTCCTATCCGACGGAGTTTTGTCCCGTAAATTTTGTGTAAATACTTGCAAATAATTTTGCGCATTTATTATGTATTTCGCCTTTTCCCTGGGGCTATGTGGCTACTGTGCACCTGAGAAGCTCGGGGGTAATGTTCGGGGGTGGATGTTTGATTTAATGTTTAATTTTCTCTCAGTAAAAGATACTGAACCCCAACTTTCACCTTTCAGTTGAGCTTCGGCGATTTATTATTTATTTCCACTCAGATGAATTAGTTGGAGCCCCTAGCGGGGCTGATGCTAAGATAACCAACACATATGAGTATGAGTACTTTTATGAATGGTTTTGGGTTCATGCGCACAACTGGTTCACTTTTTAAACAGTCTGCGTGGACTACTTATAAAAGACCGTGTGGAGGCTTTTTGATGTAGGAGGTGATGGTCTTAACGATCAGTCCACTGCGGGACACAAAGAGCTTGGATGTTTGATTTAATGTTTAATATGCTCATTTAAACTATTAAATAGTGGTAGACAATGAGGAACCTGCATGCTTTTTTTTATGTTTTAAAATGAAATATCATGCCATTTTATAAAGGTAGACACCAATTTCAGACCGGTACGATAACTAGTTATTATGTTATTAAAAGTTAAAATCGCTCGATTAGCTCCGCCCCCTAAATCGCTGCTAGGTTTCCCATCCACTCTGATGACGTCACAGTATAGTACAACCACGACTCCCATCATGTGAAACGGTGAAAGCAAATGCCGCTCCGAGTATAAATTTTGAAAAATGGCTCCAAGCAAAAACTACAAGTGTTGCATTGTACCATGTGCAATAGTTCTACATTAAACACGCCAAATAAATTATTTTTTAGTGTACCAAAAGAAGNTGGTGCGTCTGTGTACGTCACCGCTTCAGGAAAGCATTTCCGACCCCACATTGCTATATGATTTCGAGTCATCAGGATGCCCCCTACCCCTCTTAGAAGTTCTGAAACGCTTAACTGAGACACCCTGTATATACCTATATTTCCCAAAAGCAGTCAAAATGACTGGATTGTGAAGAAATTTGTTTAGCACGTTCACGCCGGGGTGACCCACCGGTGGGTCACGCTAGATTGTCTCATCGGGTGGAGCACCGGAGTAAAAACTGGTAACAAATAAATTTCATTTTTTAGTTTTTTTCCGGGAATAATAAAAATCCATAACTACCCATTGTTTTTAACGGATGCAATTTTTATATTGAATTGCTTGTTCGCCGTGATAAATTGCCTTACAGTGAATTGTTGAGATTAGATTAACTCCTCCCGAATATTATCTAATATTGAAATAGTTCATCTACCAGTATTTTCTCTTTTCCGTCCCGCTTTCAGGCTCAACACCCGGCGTGAACGTGTTAAAATTAATTTTTATATTATTTACAGTTATATAATAAGTTATTAGTAAATATTAACAATAAAAAAAATTATATGTTGTACAAAGTTCTAAGCAATTGTGTCATTATATACACCATTGTTTTTCGAATTGAAATTACAAGCTGTCAAAATGACTTCCTTAGGCAATCTAGTGTTAAGTATACCCTTGCCAGAGAAAATATACACAAGCATTTATTTGATAAATTATTTTTTTCTTCCTGTAGGTAGATCTTAAACATTTGGAAGAGATCCCAGATAATGATACCGTGCCCATTGGAATGGATCTCAGTGAATTTTACCTGAGTGTAGAATGGGATATTATGGCTGTTCCGGCCCATCGAAGGGTCCGGCATTACTCCTGCTGCGTAGAACCTTACCCGGACATCACTTTCAACATCACACTGAGGAGGAAGACCCTCTTCTACACTGTTAATCTTATTATACCGTGTGTCGGAATATCCGGCTTGTCCGTCCTGGTCTTCTATCTTCCCTCAGATTCTGGCGAAAAGGTTTGACTACTTCATTGCATTCTTATTTTTAATCATGCTGTGAACTTCTTTTTGTTACTGTAATTTTAAATTTGTGCCTAATGTCCATGAGCATTTCTCGAAAGGAGGGGGAACAACACAGATCTTGAACCCTTTGCACTTGAGAGGTGATTCTTTTTTTCGTCAAACCGTCTATATAATGTCTAACAGTTTAACTACCACAATTACATTGCTCTCTAAGTGCAGAGATGCCAACTGCTCAAGACACGCCAAAATAATTTAAAAAAACGGTAAATAACTACTAAGCGAAGTTTACATATTTAAAGTGGTAAATTATATGAGCCTACGAATTATTTAGAAATAGTGGCGGATAAAAATCTACTGAATTCAATTTATAAAACCAAGAATTACAATTGATAAACAACCACTTTAAAATATATATTTGCTGTCCGGAGCAAGTTGGTATCTCTATAAGTGCTGTTATATGTATTCGTTCATGCGTCAAACAGACGCGTGTTCGTAGAGATAGGTATATAAGAAAGGTCCGTAAACCTAGTGTTAATATTTAGTAACGACTTAAATTAGTGGCCTCGAGATGATGTATTATAAGTGTGTGAAGTAGTCCTATGAACATTAAGTGGTAACAACCATTTTTTTAAACGTTGAAAGACCCTGTAGTACAAAAGGTTATAAAATACACTCTGGCATACCCTCCAACATTTGATGTTTCTGAAAATTATTTTTTCCAGTGGCTATGTACCAAAACAGAAGTTTAAAAAAAAATATAGCATTTATAAAACTTTAATCAGAACTTAAGAACATGGACATATGGTTGTTCTAGAGACCTTTAGAATAGAAAAATAAAATAAAATGAAAAAGATAAGAATTTACCTCCAAAATCACGAAATAGATGTTTAAATTTCATGGGTTATGTGTTGCAATTGCAGCGTCACTAAATATAACTGTAGTGCCACTAAGTGCGACTGCAGAGTCAATGAATTATTAGAGTGTCGTGATTCAATTCGACGGCAAAGCCTTAATGTATCACTGAATGTTAACTACATTTTACTCAAATATATTCTGATAAAAAAGTAAATCAAAAACTAAAAAACGGAATTAAAAATACGTAGGAAAAATATGGCATTTACCAGTTTATTAAGAACCTCATTGCCAAAAAGTTGAATCAGAAAAAAGTCACTGAATGATTTGATCATTTTAATGTGCAGTCTTTATTGTCAGGTGTCTTTATCTGTGTCCATCCTACTGTCGCTGACTTTCTTCTTCTTGGTGTTATCGGAAATAATTCCGTCTACCTCTTTGGCAATGCCTCTTCTTGGTGAGTGTATTTCTTTCTCTAGATAATTTATTCTCTTTGTGATGATAAGAATATTGAACTTTGATTACAAAAGACGGCATATATTAATATAAAAGAATGTTTGTTTATTCATGAACTCATTTGTGTTTGGCGTCCTCAGAGATTTCAACTGCTCGGCTTTCGACAAAAGATCTATTAAAGTAATTGAGAATTGAAAACTAAATCTTGCATAATTTTATTTAAATAAGCCCGTGCAATTAAAGATTCTCCTCTCGAAATTGGGGAGTAAAGTGCAGGGATTCCAACTGCTGTGCTTTGTGCAAAAGTTTTAATAAATTGGTAGCGAATTAAATAATAAAACTTGTAGAATAAGGATAATTGCTCCCACTAAGTGTCACCACGAGATAACTGCAATAAAATTGCATTTAAAATTATACTTTGAATTTTCGATATATAGTAGTGGACAAATTACTTAAAATAAAAAATACTAAACTAAAATTTCGTTACCACTGGAAAGTAATTTTTTGCAAAGCGGAGCAAGATGGTATCTCTGAAAATGACATGCTAAATAAACTAATTATTTAAATTTTTGGTAAGCACAACAGCATTATACCAGATTTTTTAACACGAGAATCATGCATTAAAACATAAATTTTTTTACCAGTAGAGAACAGTTTTCTACAAATCGGGGCAAGTTGGCATGTCTGCCGTCTTTTAAAAGTTAGTAGTTCTTTTTTTTTTTAAATATAAAAGCAGTGGTAACACAAGTGTTTCATTTGGATTTATTTTATAGAAACAAAACAGTTCTGTCTGCTACAATATATTAACTACATACTTATATGCAAAAGATCTCGCTCAATGCACTTCGTCAAGTGATAGGTAACATAAGCCAAACAGTGATAGGTAATATAAGTAAGTTGATATAAACAGATATATATTAGCACATTTTTCAAAACTGTGTTTCTCATTTAAATGAAACTGTAATTATTATGACAAATCATAGATAAGCACTACTATAACCAGAAAGAATAAAGTACAAACTTTAACTAACGTTTTTTTTTAACGAAATAGGTAGTTGTTAATGCATAATTATGATTTACAATGCTTAATTTATTTTCAAACCCATTTATTGAACAGATGAAATTGTTGACAGTTTTGTAATTGATCACAGTTAAATTATTAAAATATATGATCCATACCTGGGAAATCTTCCGGATGATCGGGAAGATTTTATTTTCAGAATTTATCTGGTTGCCATATTAATGTACTCATACTTGATTCCTATTTTAATAAAATTGATTTAAAATTATTTTAATTGCCATTACATAATTGTAATTTAAACATACATGTAGAAGATCTATAACGCATCGTTGAGTAGATATAAATTCTACCAGAGATAAGAAATTACTATTTTGTGATTCTTAACTCGGGAGTATTCCACCCATTATTTTGATCCTTAACTTTCACCGAGTTAGAAGGCAGACTATAAGTATAAACTTGATGTCTGCCACTTCTTTTGCTACTTCTCTCACACTGACCAGCACTTACTGCCACTAATTCGGTCTCCCAAGGGCTCTATCTCCTGTGGAAGTGTGGAGTGTCCGCTCCTCGGACAGGTACATCGTAGTCATACTCAATTCAAGTTTAAATCGTTAAGTAATTTGTATATATTATAAATATCATACCTGCCTAGACTAGAGTAGATATATAGTTGTTCAAAGTGCCTGCCCGCGAAGCGGGCATCTGACTTTTTCATCGCATAATATGTGCCCTTGGGCGACTAAGACTTTTGGCTTTAGTGAGGAGAGAATGGAGTACGGGGGAAGTCCCCTGAGTCAAGGTAGAATTAAAGATGATGAGAGTTGTAATGCACAAAGTTATGTACAGATCTGATAGATTAATAATATATATATAAAATATAATAGTTAGTAAATTAGATATTTAAAAAACAGTATAATTATATGGGAGAGATTCCAACTTGTTAATTTCAGTTTTATAAGTGTAACTCCACAGGGGGGATGCATACGTGAGTAGAGGGCGTAGATAAGCCTTATAAATGATAATTTTATTGTTAAGAGAAAGTTTGGATTTCCCATATAGGAGTGTGTAAAGTTTTGCCTTACTGGCTCTAAATTTATCAGAAATATTATTAATGTGAATATTCCA